AAAAAAAAAAAATTAATAATTTTTATAGGTTTTGGTGATTATGTAGCATTACAAAGGAATAGCGCTTTACAAAGTTCACCAGAATATGTGACATTTGCGCTTGTCTTTATTATGTTTGGTTTAACAGTCGTCTCAGCGGCAATGAATTTATTAGTGTTACGATTTTTAACAATGAATACAGCAGATGAAAATCATGATATGCAAGAAGCGCAACTTGCTGCTCAAGGTTTTTTAACTTTTTTTTTTTCAAAAAAAAAAATTTAAATTTTTAAAATGTATAACAAAAATTTGAGTATTCTTTTGTTTTACTTTGCTTTCTTTAACAATATTTAAGGAATAAGAAATTAAATGAAAAAATAACAATTAAATTACAAAAAAACAAAAATTATAAAAATCAAAATTAAACCATAAAAATTAAATTATTTATTACAGGTTATCTAAAATTGTTAAAGAAATTTGTTGTTGCTTGTTTTTTAATTTTTTTTCTTTTCTTTTTAAAAAAATTATTGTTTTAGGTTAATCAAAATTGCAACAATGAACATTTTTGATTTATAGTTCAATTAATTCATTAACTAAAAGTTGGAATTGAAAATATTATTTTAGGTTTATTAAAATGACAGCAATAAACATTTCTGACTTATAGTTCAATTAATTTATTAATTAAAGGTTAGAATTCAATTGTAAATTTGGCATTAATTAAATTTAAATAATTACAGGTCTCGTCCATGTATCAAGACATCTTGATCAGAAATCAAATCAGTATAAACATTCATTATTTATTAAAAAATCATCTGATAATGAAAATGTTGAAAAATATGATAAAAAAAGTGAGCGAAGAACAGGAAAAAGATGTGACACAAACAATTGATTTTGATAATGCTTCAATATGTTCATGCTCATGCTATCAGTTACCGTGTCCGGAAGCTGATCTTCGACAAAGGTTGGCAACAAAATTTTCACTGAAAGCATAAATTAATTAATTAATTAATCAACATTGAAATGAAACTTTCTTTTCCCCTAAAATTCATATCCTTAATTAATTTATCAGCATTGAAATGAAACTTTCTTTTCTCCTAAAATCCATATCCGACAAATGATTTTTAACTGTGGTTGACAACAAAATTTTCATTGGAAGCATTAATTAATTAATTAATTTGTTAAAAATGAAATGAAATTGCCCAATGAAATTTTTGCTAAAATCTTCAAATAATTGCATTAGTAAAATTAGACAAAAATTTTAGGAAAATAAAAGAAAATAAAAAAAAATTTCATATATGCATATATTTGAAGTTTTTTTTTCTTTTTTTTTCCAATTATTCATACGTATTTGTTATGTTATACAAATTATTGATTGATATGATATGTTAATACTTGATATGATATGGATTTTGTTGTTTGCAGGTATACGGTACGTAATCATAATTTGGCACATTCCGATATTCAATCATCAACAAAATCAGCTACTGTATTTGTGCAACAAACTTCTTCTGATACCAGTACTGCTAATCGACCAAATCATAAAACAACCACTTGCTAGCATATTTCTTTGTTTTTTCTATTTTTTTTTTTTTATTTTTTT